AGTAAATGGAGTTATGGGGTTAAGTCGAAGACTTTCAACGTTGGCGCTGGTCTCCGCCAAGGCTGCGTCCTGTCCCCTCTCCTGCTTGTGTTGTACATGGATTGAATAGTCAGGATCTGCCAAGGCGATAAGTGTATCGGTGTTCTAGATGTGGAGAGGAGAAGGTTGCTGTTTGCAGAAGACCTCGTTTTATTGGCATCTTCTGAAGGTGATCTACAGTGCTCTCTGGAAAGGTCGCAGCCGAGTGCGCTGTGGCCAGCATTGGTGTGAACGCCTCTAAAGCGAAAAACCTAGTGTTTTCTCGTTCTGCTGCTCGATTGCTCTATCCACATTGACGGAGATGCAGTGGAGCAAGAGGATTTGTTCAAGTACCTCGAGTTCGTGTTCACTAGTGATGGAAAATTTAAGGAAGAGATCAACCGGCGAATTGGAGTAGCCAGCAGTGTGCTGGAAGTAGCCTGAACCATTGTGACTAAAGCAGAGTCGATTCTGTAGACTAAGCTCTTGGTGTTCAAGTCGATCCTATCCCCATATTTGCTTATGTTAATGAATCGTGGATCATGTCTGAAGACTAATTTGTCTAATCACGAACGATGTTTCTGCAGCTGAAACGTAAATCCATTGCCTCTGCGATGCAATTCGCACTGACATCTGATTTTGTGGAAGCTATTTTAACATGTTGTTTGTAAAATTAGAAATTCCTGGTTCTCATTGGGAAGCCATTACCTCAAACACTGACAGTCATTCATTAAATCACTGAGTTGTAGCGAAATTTTAGGCTATATCCTTAGTTTGCAGGAAATTAAGGAGTTATGCGCCAATCAGTGCGAGCGTTTGACTTTGTTCAAGATACGAAAACGAAAACCTTCATCGATGCTTCCAGGGTTATCTAGTTGTTGTGAGAGATGCATGTTAGACCAAAGGCTTGCAGGAACTTAGATACACAGAACTGCAGATAAAGAGAGAACAGGAGATCAGACGTCGTTGTTTTTTATCTTCGATCTCTAACGGAAGTTGGTACAGTTTGGAAATTTTCTATTCTGTCATCCACGTGACCATGGCCGCGCCTACAAAAGGCCAGCGTAACTCAGACTGGAATACCGACCGCTGCATGTCATTTCGAGCTTCGCCACTTTCTGAGCTTTGATCTGCACAGCTTCTGAATAGCGTTCTCTATGAAAGGCAGCATGACTTGAGATGATGTGGTAACAAAAATAAGGCCTCGGTTTTGGCTATGCCTTTTGCTCGTTTTACGATCTTTCTTCCTTGAAGAATTGTATTTCAGTAAAAATTTCTAGGTACGAGCAAGTCGTGACGCTTAGAATCTCACAGCGAAAGCCCCATTGGATTTGCGATCGTTTTGTAACTGTGTTCGATGCGGCATGTCTCGATCGAAACAGAACGTGTCGTACGTCAAACCTGAGGAACCGTCGTTCCTGAAGGAAATCAAGCAACGAGTGGGCTACCGTGAGCCGTCCGTGCATGACAAAGTAACCATACACTGGCGTTGTTGTTGTTTATTTTTGCCATTCAGTAATGTGTTACGCTTTCTGCTTGTATCTTACAAAATTGAACTTCTTGTGGATGTCGTCAGTGACAAGTCAAATGACAAGATATCAGGCCTCAGTGTGGTTGAGTTTAACATCCACAGCCGCGAAGCATATTCACGAGCCCAGAGGTGGTCGGACTACTTGAAACAGTGATAAAGACCAACTGAAAGAATTCCACAAGATATGTTAAGAAGAACAATACTGGTATCACAAATCCATACTGAAGTATCTGGGTTGTTAAGTCTGGATTCGCATTTGTTTCTAGAATATCTCGTACCCCAGACCTGTCTGTTTTTGCACAAATGATGCTGATTGTAACGATAATGCGTGCACAACGGAGCTCAACTGCCACCGAGTGGTGAAGATGCCAGAAAAAAAGCTTCTAAGTCATAAAACTGAAATTCAGCGAAATAACTTAATAACGAGTCGCTGCAGATCAAGTTGATACTGAAGACGTTCATTTTGGTGTGGAAAGCAGAATGACACAGCAGTTAAATCACTGAAAACGGCAAGGCGCTGCTGATGAAGATTCGGACTTGAGATGTTAGAAGCTTTGGATCGTGATGGTATTCTTCTGTGGTGGACTCAGACTCGGTAGTACCAAGTCGCATTTAATTCCGCTTAAAAGTAGTGACAATCCCGCTGTAGCAACTGCCGAGATATCTCCCTGTTTAGTCTACGTGTAAATTCTATACAGAGTGCTTGAAAGGAGGCTGCCGAGAAATGATAGAGCAGGAAATTGAGAATGAGCAATATGCCAGACCATTACTCTCCTTTACATATATGAAAAATGCTAAGAATAGGCAACGGTTAGATCTGTAAATTGCGTTCGACAGAGTACCACGGTCAAAACTGCCAAGAGTACTGCAGAAATTTGGCGTCGATGGCCAGCTACGGAGAGTTTTGAAATTTTCGTATCACCCTTCATAAGTCTGAGTCTGAATTAATGTCAGAAGCATTATGCAGTCAAGAGGTTCTTTGGTCTTAGCTTAGGGTATTTGCTATCTACTCTCCTGATCATAATTTCTATAGAATGGATTAGTAGATGAGCTGAGGCAGGGATAATGTTACAGTTCGAGAAATTGGAATGAATCGTCTGTTCTGTTTGCAGTTAAACTCATCATGTCTGCTTCTTTGAGTCATGACTTCTGATGTACCCTTAAATAAACTCTTCACTGACACATCGGATGTCGTTGGGATGAAAATAGCCTGACTGATGGCGAGGCATATGTACTCGAAAGAAAGACCAGTTGTGTTGCTTTCAAAATCAGTGGAATGCAACTCGGCGGATAGAGAAAACTGTCTCACGGCAGCACTTGCTTGTGTCAAATTTCTTCGTAACAGTGCCTTGATTATTTACCTGTTTATCTGGCTTTAAACCGTCGGATTTTTATCTATAATATGCCTGTTTTGGCAGTGCTGCTGTAATCTAACTATTTAATTATTGTATTGCTAAACTTTTCTGTAAACTATTTAGTTACTGTATTAGATGCAAGTCTTGGAATGCCCATCCAACGAACCAGAAACGGCTGATGGGGCGACCGTTGTTGTTCTGGATGACGATAACATAAGTGCAGAAGAATATGCTGAGTTTATGCGGGAGAAAGCTGAAGCGGAAGATGGTAGGCGATTTATTTTCATGTGATCTCTTTTTGATATTTGAACAAATAATTATTGTAGCGTTGAAGATTGCACGGGGCGATATTAGGTTTATGAAACCGAAACGTGAAAACGATCAAATGGATACCGAACCGCTACCCAACAAATGTACAAAGATGTTAAAAGTCGATAAGAACGACAAGCTGCTAAAAGCTAACATGGTTAATTCGAGACTATTGTCTTTTGAAATGCCTGACGACGATGACTGGTAAAAGCGTCTTTCGTTTGCACTGTATTGTAGCAATGGCGTTATCATTTTTTCGCTGCAATTAACCAGATATTATATCTGCTTGGTTGTTCCTTTCTTTTTACGATGTATGTTAAGATATAGATAATGTTGATACCATGTACAGATGCGTTATTAACTTGTGTATGCAAGGCGCATTCCAATCTCGCGTTCTTTGAATATATTTTCTTTGTTGTCTCAGTGCGCATTTTGATATGTTAGATTTTGAACATACGCTTTTTTGATTTCACCTGTCGTGTACATAACTTCGTGATTTGCGCTGTTTATTGTTCGACGTTTCTGTCGGCACGCACTTGCAACCTGACAGTTTTCGGATGAAGTTAAGAAACGCCAGATCATGAAATCGCTTTGTCGTATTTAATCTAACAGTAAATTTGTGGTTTACCGATGTTATTTTTGTGCTAGTCACAAATTCGCAGAGACAGAAGGTCTTTTCGATTTCGTTCAGCTTACGAGGCTGTACCTGAAGGTTCTTTTGTGCTCGTAGTTTGTTTTTTGTAGATTGTTACTGTAGCTGTTCTGCGTTTGCTGTCACCTAGAAGTAGAACCATCTCATTTGTTTTTGATGCAGTGTATTTCAGAGGTGAGGCAAAATGTTGCCGAGCGCGTCCGCGACTGCAGATGTTGAAACATATACGCGAATTTGCTGTGTAATATGTAGAGAATTAGAAAAGTATGCAATCGCGGTTTGCGACAGTCCATTGATTTTTCAGCCGGGCAGAATACCGAATATCCGTGTGACGCAGCGATCGAGAATTGCCATAAAATATACGCTGTCGAGTCCAATGAAACCATTTCTCAACTAAAAGAGTCAAACTCTCAGGTGAAGCTGTTATCACGCTGTGTTAACAGTTCATTTGCGCAGGCGTAAAGTTTTGGCTTTCTGAATTGTTTACAGCCTCATTAAACCTAAAATGTGCTAAGTGTCCCTCTGAGATTCCGTTCTGGCTGCACAAATTCAACAAGGGATTGGATAAACGGGCAATTTTTGCGTTATCCGACGCTAAGACGAGGGTTGACCAATTGGCTCGTCTGAGAGAATCGTTGAACGTAAAGAAATAGAAATTGGATTCCACCTCACCACCAGTGTCGAATCGATCGTCCAAGAATGCTGCTGAATGATCCAGTGGTCAAATTGCTTGGCCAAACAGAACGAGAAAAATAGAAAATGCTGAAGGAACATTCATTTGCTCTCATGGCACAAGTATAACGAGTACAAGCTACGTTGCGGTTAAATTTTTAGCTTCAAGCTTTTATCTTCAAGCTTGGATATTCAGATTTATGACTTCGTTACGAATATGACATTGAATCATGCCATGCTGCATTAACTGTGATGGAATCAATCTCCTGGGCAGAAATTTGGGTGGCTCTGTAGTTAAACTTAGATGACGAAACGCCAAAAAGCACAATCTACGATAATTAGTTTTTCGAAAAATGCCCGTTCTTTTTAAAGCATATGGTTTATTTCTCATATAAGTTTCAAGCTGAACTAGTAACTGACTTAAGCATGAATTCGATACACAGTTTATTGAAATAAAAGCATATTCTATTTTGATTGATAGTCAAAATAAATTAAAGGCAATGACGAGTGCGTAACCACTGTCAAATACGAAGGAGATCCGCCACGATTTCGCATCGCATTGTCGTGAACCACCTGAAACAATGGCCCAGGTTGGAGTGTCAGTTTACCCATTTAGATTATGATCCTTACCGGATTCATCGCTTGGTTTTCGAGGCTTACCAGTTACACCAGTCTTTTGACTGAAAACCCAGGTCACTAACTCCGTATCAATAAGGCTCGTCATCCAAAGGGAAAAATTTAAGCGCAAAGCCAGGCCGTTCCTACAGCGGGTTAATCACCATTAGATGCAGGATCGTTGCGGATTTTCCTCTTGATTGGACAGCATTTGTGCAATCGTTAATCCATCTTTAACCTATGTAGCCACAAATCAAAATAAAATGCTTATTTTAATAAACTACGCATTAGGCGAACAAAGCATGTGCTGGCTAATACGTGTCTGTCAAACTGCGATGACTGCGGGAAAGACACCAGCGGACTGGAGAAC